CCTTTGTTCCGGCCATGCTCCCCCATAGCCTCTTGTGCTCCTGCACACTGGCAAAACATGAGAAGCTTCAAAGTCCTTGATTTCCTTAGCAGCAATGATGAACATCAGTGTGTTATCAACATTCTTCTAATACCAAATCCCATACTAAATCCTAGTACAGTTCTGTTCTAGCTACTGAAAAGAAAACCAACTCTGTCCCAGCTGAAACCAGGACATCCAGCATTGAACACTTCTAAGATTCAGCTGGGCAGGGTGCTGGGCCACCTTGTCTAGACTGTGCTTTTGCAAAGAAAGGTTGGACCAGATGATCCCTGAAGTCACTTCCAACCTGGTATTCTATGAAATTCAGCCTAAATCCTTGCTCAGACAGTAAAGATTTGTCTATCAAATACCTTTAAGCATTTTTGTTTTCTATAGCAACAGTTAATTGGATATGCAACTGTCAGTTTAAATGCTTTAAATGAGGCTGATGGGATTAGTAATTGAATGCTCGGATTAATGATTTACAGCTGGTTTTGCTACCCTGCTTACAGCTATGTTCATGATAGCTCCCTACCCTTATCAGGCAGGTGGAGCAGTGGTGTGTAACTGCAATATAGTTATGATATTATGAAATACAGTTATGAAACAGATTTGATGTAATTAGTGCATTCCTGTTGAAATGCATACCTATTTTTTAATCCGGTGGGCAGCAAGGGACTATGATCAAAATATTAAAAGCAGGAAATCTAAAAACAGCCACCTATCCTCCACAGTTAGGACTTGAAACTGGAGGTCTCAGTCATTCTCCAATTAAACTTATACAATTGTCTTTTGTGGCTTGAGCCAGAAAGCAAACCTCAATGCTTTGGTGTTCAAGGCTGCGAGTGGAGGCTGACAAAGGGATTTCTACGAGAGATGGTAGGACTGCAAAGGAAGTGGAAGAGATGAAGTCTGTGCACTGTCAAAGCAGCTGCTCTTGGAGAAAGGGACCAGACTGCAAAGCTTAGTCAAGTTAAGAGATCTCTTTGGTGATCCTTGAATCACCTATCTTGGTGGGAGCTGAAGAGAATCATGAAAGTTTTAAGATTCTGATAGGGAAGTGGTTACACTGTTCTCTGTGTGACTTTTAGATCCCACTTCAGCCCTTTAAAAGGACAGAAATATGGTATGCTCCTTGGGGCTGTCCCAGAACATCGCTGTAGATAAAATGGGTTTTGGGGCCAGCTAACCCATAGCAGTAATTTCTTCATTCTCAAAGCCACCCAGGGTCAGAGAACTTAACCCTTCATTTGCCTTTTAAGTTGCAAATTCTGTGATGCTCCTGTTGGCAAAAAGCAATCTTGCTGTTTGTGTCTAGCTGAGCTCTGTAGTGGTTGAGGAAGAAGGCTGTAAAGAAACTTTTATGTGGCACCAAGATGTATACCTAAACTGCGGAGTTGTGCTATGAATCTGTCATTTTGCCTTACATGTAGGCCTCTAAACTCATCCTTATTGACAGAGTTGAAAACTTTGATTCTTGTTAATTAAGTCCCCTTCAGGATTAAAATGAGTCAGTGCATATTTAGAGTCTATATTGAACAGAGTTTAATAGTACTTATTTCAGTATATTAAATTAGAACATGTTTCTGTTCTAAAGATTCTATCTTGGGAAACATTATCTGAAACAGCTCATAACACTGATGTTATAATTACTTGTATTTATGATATGGCTATAAACAATTACGAAGTAAATTATTATAAATATTTAGAAATAATGACAAAGTAATTATTGTAATAATAATTTTGTAGTGATTTATATTTATTGTACATCATACTACATATTCATTTACTAGAGGAAAAACCCAGGAAATTCAAAGCTATGCTCTGCATATTTCAGCTCACAGAATATGCCAAGTTCATCTGAGATGCAAGAATGGCTCTACGACCTTTCCTCATTATCCCAGGATTTAAGCTTAGGTTTTCAGGCAGAGCTCCAGCTGCATGCAGTTTGATATTCAGAAATCATTGTATTCATCAGCTTCTTTCTCCCTCATGATCTGCTCCTGTATGTGAACTCCATTTGGTTCAGGAAACCTATTTTTTTTTTTTCTTCCTTCCTCTAATTAGTTCCTATTAAAAAGCCCAACTCATGCTTGCCTAACCTCAACTGGACTTTCTTTTTCTTCCTTTTGTTCCTAATGCAGAGGCATTAATCTCTTTGACTGGTCTAGACCCTTCCAGCATTCACTGTTCATATTCAGTTTTTGTTACGCTTAGTACTCAAACCAATGATACTATATTTGAGCATACTCTGGAATATTAATTGCCATCTAAAAATGCCAAGCCAATGATAAAAGCCAGGGAAAGGAGATGTAGAATCTGGTTTTTGGTCTCAGAATGACATTTCTTCCTTCAGAGTACTCTTGCTGTTAATTTTCTTTCCAGACATGACACTTTCCTCCTTTCTGCTTTTACTTATATAAAGCAATACAGCTGTTTCAATAATATAAAGCAATACAGCTGTTTCAATAATCTTTGATGCAGTGACAGTTCTAGGAATGTATTGTAAGAGGAAAATTAGAAATTCCAGAACTTGGACCAAGAGTGAGATGCCCTTTTTCATCTCCCAGCCCAGCAGACCCTTAGTTTTGATTTGTGATTTATGAAAGTGGACTTCCAGAAACCTTGCTTGATTCACTGGCATATTTTGAGCTGATTTCATCTTAAACATTAATAACTGAGAATGCTAGAACACTTTAGTGGTAGAGAGCCCCTGAGTGATGGCATAACTTGAAAGTCATAAGAGATTCTACGTCAACAGAAGAAATTACATCTTAGTCTAATTTCACATCTTTTAAATTCAAATTATTAAAGCAAGACAGTGTCTGGCCGGAGAGGCTTTCAATTATAATGGAAGAAATGAAGGTTATTCAGCTTTGCTATTTCATTCAGAGGACCAAAGTCACATCTCCCTTCTGTGTACATTGCCACCTGCCTGTTGAACTTTGGAAGAGACTTACTCCTCCACTTTGCTTGCCCTCACTCTTGTTTTGGGCTGCATGCATATATCCCTGTTAGATGTTTGTATCAAGTACTTTTTTTACTATGTAATTGGGAAGGTTTAGTAGATCTAAAGACTTCATTCTGCATGATACGCGCTAGGTCTCCAGAGCTTTGGGAATTTTATTCCTCATTAAATCACCATTTTTTTGGTAACTGTGAAGGATGGATGACAAAAACTGGTAAACCTTTTGCATCATCAAGCACAACAACGCTTGTTTTAGTTAGAATGGCGGAAAGGGCCTCTCTTTGACTAAATTAGAAGTAAGTAAGTTTTAGGGAAAGGAAGTGAATAAATGTTGAAGTGAAAGATCAAGGATGCAACTGCACTGTGATTTTAGTTATTTCTGGAGAGTACGTTTGAAGCACACCTGTTGCTGATGCCTGCATCCCATGCATGGGTTTGTGCTGCAGAGCAGGCTTGATGTGCACAGCCCAAGGTCCCTGTGGATGAAACCACTCAGGTGATGCGTTCCAGGAGCCTGACTGATGTCCTCCAGCTGCTAGTAGGAAGGTATTATGAGGGGAAAGAATGGGAAGACTTTTCCTGTGGCTGGTGACATCCTGAAGAACTCTCTGGAAAGGTGATAGGGAACACAACTGAATCCTGAAAACGCCATGGAGCTTCTACAAGCATTGGTATTTTCTGCCTTCTAAAATTTGGTATAATCAATTCTGTACAGCAGGAAAACAGGTGCTCTGCTTTTTATTTGAAGGAAAAGGAATGTCTTGCTGTTTATCAACTCTTCAGCATGATTTTGGCCATTTCTGACCACGTATATCATCCTCTAAGGGCCAAGCCAAAAATCATCACAACTAATTGAATGCGATGAGGCTTTTAAGTGCATATTTAAACACCGCTTAATTTTTAGTAGTCCTGAGTACCTAGAAGATCCTGTTGACTCAAGAAAAGTCAGACCCTCTTGTTGTTCAAGAAAAGTCAGACCCTTAATTTGCCCTTTGTGTCGACAGGTAGTACTGTGCAAAACTGAAATACTGAATGCAGAGCCACGGATGGTTTTAGACATCTAGCTCCCATAAACTATTTCAACAATAATCAGGTATCTAAATGGCTTTGAGGATTTTGGCTGTAAAAAGCTTCAAGTACTGTCAGTGCTGGTAGTCAAAGCTATTTTTATCATGTTAATTTAAGTAACAAGTAACCAGTATCAGTAGGTTGGGGCAAAGTGCTCACAGACTGGGAATCTAGAGGAACAGTCAGAATTATGGAAGGGAGCGCACACTGGGATGAGAGCTGGCCTTTGATGTAAGTGTCACTTATGTAAACCCCAAAGGATCTAGTGTTAGTGTTGGGTTTTCTGTTTGTTCTCAGATTTACTTATATTGCCTTTGTTTGAAACAGAATAGACTGACAAGCAGTTTCCTGTATTTCAATAGTGCCAAAGTGATTTATACCAGCTGAGGAATCGAACACAAAGCTGTTCCATGGAAAACTGTTTGTCAGGTCCTCTGTAAAATTAGGATTTTGAAATTTTTTAATGCAGTTTTGGGTCATGTTTATTTTGCATTGACTTACTGCTTTATGAGTTAGTGTTTATAGCTTTAAGGCCAACTGCACAATCCTATATTGGAGGGATATAAAAGGTGTAACTAATCAAACGTGGCATTGTGTTGTACACTGGAGAAATGTTCTTGACGCTTAAAGTCAAATACACTTATGATTTGGTTTTTTATGTGAATTGGCTGAACACTATGAATGATAGATTTAGGCTTTAAACATTTATTCTGTTAACTGGTTAAAATGACAGCAGTTATACAGTTATATTCACTTTAGAGCATATTTATTATTCTAGTATTCTAAGAAACTGAGAAAACTAAAGACAAAAATGTATTTCAGCTGTTGTGTGTGCAGTACAAATTCTGTAATTACAGAAAAGAGGTTGGCATTGCTCTGAATGCTTAAAGAAAAATTGAGATGATATTTAATTAAACGACAGAAAATAAATAACATTTCAGAATTTATGCAGTTAGGATGAAGAATTTATTGTATATACAGTTAAGGAACTCTACTGTAGATGTACTTCCTCTTTAAAGAAAATGAATACAGGAATCAAAATAGTTCTAGCATGGAAACTACAATACAGACTGAAACTTGACTAAACTAGAAATCAGTTATTTGACTGGAGAGAACACAGAACCTGAAACAACAAATCGCAGGTTGCATCATTAACCAAGGACAGTAAAAAAACTGTACAGTACAAGCAACACGTTACAATAAGTTATGACCAATAAGGCAGTCTTTCTCATGTAGGACAAAAGGGATAAAGGGAAAAGTATTAAAATCTCATAAATCCACCATATCTCTTTTCCATCTCTGGGACCTCTTTGGAATAAGCTTCCCCATCTTCTTCTGAAGGCAGAATGGAGTCGGCGAAGCGCTTAAGAAACCCACCGTATCGTTTCTGGTAATCCAGCCACCATTCTGGCCTGCCCACTCTTCTCATGAAACCACCGTATCTCTTTTGCAGCTCTTTGGCTTCATCTTCCAATTCAGGGCTGCGCTTTATGCTTCTCATGAATCCTCCATATCTTTTGCTGACGTCCCCATCGTTTTCATTTATCTCTCGGTAATGTCCCGCTTCAGGGTTATCCCCTGTTCCTAGAAGCTCCTTCAGCAGATCAGAGGAATTAGCAAGGGCATCGTCATCCGAGTCTTTCTTCATAAACCCTCCATACCTCTTAGCCAGGATTTCTCCTCCGTTTGCTTCGTCCTCTGGTTCTACCCGATAGAGCTCATCCATTTTCTTCATGAACCCCCCGTATCTTTTCATGAAGCCTCCATACTTCTTTGCGAGCAAATGGTTTTCATCCAGCTCTTTCTTGTCTCCTGGAGCAATGTTGCCATCCTCAGCAAGATCCAGCTTTGCCAGCTGCAGGAGCTCCTTGCAGGTCTCCCAGGCTTTGGCAGAAGGCAGCTTTCCTTCGCATTCTAGTGTACATGCCTGAAAAACGGATGCGGTTTACTGAGAACGATTTGATAGTAAGAAGCACCTCACCGCCACCTTGTCTTAGCTTTATTTGTTTTTAAAAGACCATGATTGAACTTCTCTTTGTGAGTGGCTTGGAAGGACTGCTCTTTGTGAAAAGCTGATTTGGTACCTGTCTGTTCTTAAGTTCTTTGTATCCCCCTTTGAAGGACACAGTAGTCTCCAGCCTAAGAAATACTGAACAAGATGGATCATGAGTCCTGTATTTCCTGTCCCCTGTGTTTCGGTTTCAAAGGAAGCCACACGTACAGTTCCTGCACCTCCCTTACACTTGGGTGTGTTCCTATGATTTTTTTTTTTTTTTAATTTATTTTTTATTTATTTTCGTATTTACTATTGGGAAGCTAAAAACAAACTGCAGTTTGCTTCATCATGAAAGTGTAGAAGCGTACTCAATCTTCAAAATTAAAAGTAACATTCAGAAATTTTAGGAAAGAAGTTACACTTCATTGTCATTGCAAAGAAGCCAGCTGTACTGTACTGCTCGGTATCTTCAACAACTCTAAAGCTGTATTTCTGTCTGTTATCATTAATTTCTCCTTGTGGAACAGATCTTTCAAATGTGCACCAATTCAAATGTAGAAATACAGGCTCTCTTAGGCAGGATCAAACTTCTGGGTTTGCTAGTTTGACATACAAAGTAGTGACAATCAGAAAGGGGAAAAAATTCCTGAGCTGTGTGGCTTCTGTAATGAAAACTTTTCAGGCTAAGACATAAAAAAAGTTTTCAGTACCTGTTTGCATATGTTGTAACCTGTCATGTAAAGATAAGAACATACATATTAGCTACTACTGTCTCTGTTGTGTCAGGGGAATTTACTTGTGAAGTCACACGCTTCAGTTGGGAAAAAAGCGAAGCCAGTGGTTTTTTTTCTTGCCCATGGTTTTTATACCACAGTAATTAAACAAGAAATCATCAATATTTTCAATAAGAGAAACACTTATTGTGCTTATAGATGATGTTTTCTAAGGATCTCGATTTGCTTTAAAAGTGTGAAATTAAACCCCAGCACGGTTTTCTCTCATAGCTAAATGACTACCTCTCTACCTCTGGCTTTACCTGTCTGTTGAACTCCATTTTAGTGTCAGAAATTTATATGTGGTTTTTGATATGAGCAAAAGAAATTAAAGGGGTTTATGTATTTTACAACAATAATTCATTTATTTTAATTGGCATTATATGCTTGTTGTTACATATTATAGTTATGCCATAAAGAGAAAGTGATCTCAGCTTCAGTCTGACTTTGAAATTCCTCTAAATCAAAGCAAGAATAAGTTTTTGCCTTCCTCTTCCCTTCTCAATCAGTTTAAGTGAACCCCTATGACCAAATTAACATATGCTATCTCATGGGTGTGAATGACCAGGTACAATGTGATAAATCTTGTATCTTACAGATACAATATGATAAAATCACTTATGTTACTAGAATGATTGGTTTCTAAAGCTGCTTGTACGTGTGAGGAATATATGGCACAGCACACTGCTTATTTTCCCATTTCAACTAATAATCGTTGTTACAGAATGAGACTTTGATTCTTTCTTGAATAATCACTGAAGGTGTACAAGAGAGAATATCAACACAGACACCCACAACATATACTCTGAAAAGCATGTATTCCTCCCTCCAATAGAATGAACTACCACTTTTTTTCCTAGTTGACATTAAAGCTAAAACTTGACTGAAAGCTAATGTAAGCAAAAAACTGTTTTGCCAGCCGTCCTAAGAACATTGCCCTTATGAACCTACTGTGGTTAAGAGCGAGTCCTCGTTTTTGGAGTAAGCAGAAGTATTCAGTGATTCCTAATTCTGCATAAGAATAGGGTTCAACCCTTGCTTTTGTGTGCTCCCAAATAATCCATGACGTTTTAGCAACCAAACTTTTCAGATCATTTAGATGTGCTGAGAGTACGATGCCTCAATATCCATCTATTTGAAGTCAGGAACTGCAGGTGCCACCTGGCAAAGGACTCGGCAGCCTGAGCTCCCACCTTCTTCAGGAAGGGATGAAGGACCCCAAACTTTCACGGACCTCGATCCTTAAATTTCAAGTTGAGCTGCCTCTGTGACTACACTTTCAAATAATTGCAATATCATTACAATTACAGACTGAAAAAACTCTGCATTCCGGAGTTTTCTTAGCATGATTCGTCTTGGGAGACAATGCCAAAGGCATCCCTCACAGGCTTATTCCTAACGCTGTGCAGCACTGCGCGAAGAGCAGAGCAGCGGGAGGTACTGCTACTCAAACCGGGCTCGAACCCCACTTTTTGTGAGATTTCAGGCAGATCCGCCGCTTTTCAGCTCCACGGCCATCCTGCCTGGAAAGAGCTCATCCTGCGAGGAGTCCACGGTCGGGGTTCGCGACCCTCCATCCCCCCCGTCCCGCCCGGCTTTCCCCCGCCCTGCCCACCACCTTTCCCTGCAGAGCTGCCCTCTCCGGCCTGATTTCCCTTCCCTCTTA